TTTATAGTCTCATCGACCACTCAGAGCACCTTCAAGTCACATTCACTAATTCACGCACACATCCATACGTGCAGCACTTTTTCTGTCACACACCATTCATCCTCTGTCAGCACAGCCGGGGCAATTTGGGGTTCAGTAGCTTGGCCAAGGGCACTCAGAATGCTGACTGGAGGGGCTGGGGATCAAACACCTACCAATCTTCTGGATGGTGGATGAACCACTCTGACATCTGAGCCACAGGCGCCCATCAGGCAGTGTGAACTATTTTTATATCGTAATAATACAATTTTATAATAATGTCATCATGTTCATGTATGACATCATTGTGAAATCTTTCCCACCACTTGATTCAAACTTTTCCAACATAAGCTTCAGGTTGTGTCCATATTTTCTATAGGAGAGTCATGATGTCATTTTCAAATTTTTCATTGTGATTTCTTCATGATGGCACTCATCATACGATGGGGAATTATTTTCTGACCAATACAAGCTTTACATCGTCTCTTCGCCGAGGAAATTCAGAAGACAGTTTATGAGCTGTGCAGCAGTTATGTAATGGCACAATCAGGAATTCCCTCGCTTTTTGAACAGAGAACATTTTGCAGAAGCATAGCCACAGAGATTTATGAAGAACTTGAGGGCTGCTTGTTTTCCCGTTGACAGTTTGCAACAAATAGTCGCCTGAAGCACATTGTCTTGCCTCAGTGATCAATAAATGTGTCATTTCAAAGGGACCTCTGGGACTCGTAGTATAGAGACATTTAATCGTTACCACCAGCAAACGCAGGAGCAACTGAATCAATGAAGTGAAATAACTGTAGAGAATGTTAAAGATTTAATATATAACAACTAAAAACAACTGGACCTATGTTATATATCTTGTTGACTTGTGTACACACATTATCTCAAATGTTTCTAACAATGTTCAAACCCAGAGAAATCATTTGATATCATCTTATTCCCTTTACCTGCATCTCTGCTATAACATCCGGGGCAAACGACGAACAACGAAGGACAAACACGCTGCTAGCCTTGCACTCCAGTGTGAATCTAGTTGACACTAGAATTAGAATTTAGTATACTTGCTGTATCTTAACAGTTTCTCTCTCCTTTGTTTTCCTTTCCCCAGAAGAAAAGCCAGCAGGAAGAGTCTGAGGAAGAGGAGGAGGCGCAAGAGGAGAACACGCAAGAGGAGGACGCTCAACAGTGACACAGTTCCCCTGAAACCTGAAGACTAGCTGCTAGTGTCAACAGTCCTCTCCATATAATGATGTCTGCATGAAGTGACTCTTTACCCTCTGTCCTCTTTGAGCTTGTTATTTCCTTTTCTTTTAATTCCACCCTGTTTCCTCTCATGCCCTCCTTCTAACGGTACGTGCTGTTCATGTGGTTTCTTAAATAGCTCTCTGGCGTTAGTTGAATGGAACATCTTAAATTAACGGATCATGTGAACGGCTCTTTCGGGACTCGTTTTCCGTCGATGTGTTCCCTGCCTCTGACGCTGCTAATAGCAGTCTTACTGGTCGTTATGTGAGATGGGCAGAGGGAAGCCTCAGCAGCGCCAAACTGTCTGTTGTTTCATTTTGGTTGAAATGATTTGTAAGTGGAAGTATTGACTAAAACTGTAAAGAATTCATGATATTATACTTTAAAATGAGTGGATATTAGATCATGTATTATGTATTTCAGCACAAATGGTGTCTGGATTTGAAATGAAGTAGTCGACACTCACACAATTCATTTGTTTGTGTTATGAGGCTGCGGAACACTTCTCTATTTAACACTAAGGCCGTTCATCACTTGGTCACTTTTAATTTTTCTTCCCAGCTGTCCCTGCTCCTCAATCTCCCCCTGCCAATTTCCCCCGAGCAGTTTTGACACACTCATTGCTCCGAGCCCCTCCGGGCATTCCCTGGTTTTCCCATCATGCATCGCTGTAGACTGTTACTCCCAAAAACACCATTAAATTTCTTGTCATGTATCGACTCGGCTGTCAGTCTGGTGGGTGCGGTAAACTAGCACATTAGAAATTGATTGCGCTTTTACGCAAGCTCTCATTATGCCGGGGGCTGAATGAGCTGTGGATGCACGGCGCGGGGCACTTCATTTTGGGTTTTTATTTATTTATTTATTTATTTATTTGCCTTCAGCAGAGTGATGGAGCAATTACAGAGAGATGGAAAGAGCCGATGCTATCAGAGTTGCGGGTCCCAGGCTGAAACTCTGTGGACGGGGGAAACGGTATACAAGGCGCATATTGTGGGGAAGGTTTCACATTCATCATCATTAGGAAAATGAATTCTGTCTGTAAACAAACCATCTAGACCTGGAGGCGGTGTCCTGACTTGACCTGCGATGGTGGATGAGCTTCGCTACTGATGTCTGTGCACAGAGTTTGCGGTGTTAAAGGCAAACATCAAAATCAGAGCAGTGCTGTGGGAATATCAGAAAGTTATGGAGTCTGTTGTTTCTTTTGCTACTTTTCTTTGGTGGAAAATACAAAGTTAGACTCCAGTCTGAAACCAACGACAACATCATACTAGAGAAAATACTGATGAGTCATAAAGTATGAAGCACATTTTGTTCACCATAGGTTAAAGCTGTCACCTCTATAAAACTAAATAGCTTTCGTTAACAACTATTCTCACAACCTGCTCCTTCATAGGAAAACACATTTCCTGCAAATGTTCTTAGCTCCTGGGGAAAGTTGCTGCCAGGGAAATGCAGCTTATGAGCATTTCAGCTCACACTTTACAGAAGTGTTTTCTCATTGTCAAAGACGTGCATTTGCTAGCTGAGTTGGGCTCAGGGAAATACCTTCTCCTCGTCTTCCCACTGAAACGTAATAAACCAGTAACACTATTTCTTCCCGGGGAAAAGTTACCAAGGGAAGTTATCTTATTGGTTGTTTTCACAGCCGACTTTTCAACTTGTGGGGAGGCACAGGTTTTTCTTACATTCACAATGGCTCATGTTCTATTCTGATATCCCAGTAGACCATGACAGTGAGCCAGCATGCACGGTACCATGAAGTCAACCATCATCTACTTTGTTATGTGCACCTGTGCTTTTCTTATTGAGAGATCCCACAATCCCCTCTGTGGAAAGACCCATGGCTCACAGCTGTGACCTGAGCTGCATCCAGATGAGCTAATGTGATGAAATTAGCTCTCTGTAGATCAATCTGGTCCGTCAATCTGACAATATCCCGTGTATTCATAGGATATTTATAGGGGTCGTTGGATGACGTGTTACAGAACCGCAGTGCACAAATATACCACAACCAAACATGTAATCTGTGGATACACGTAATTATGATTACGTTTTAACTGTTGTTTCGAGAGCACATTGGAATTTCAGCCGTACCGAATAGTATTTTATTAATATTTTATTGACAAGATTTCCGTATGTGTGTGCACCTTCAATGTATGTGTTTAAGCTGCAAGCAAGAAGTCTGCCCTTTTATCACCCCTGACATTCGCCCTCTATTTAACCACCTCTTTTTATCCTCTCTGGGTAATCATCTTTCATCAGGAGGAGGTCAGATTTGCTGACTCAGCGTTAAGGGATGGAAAGGGGGAGGATGGGAGAGCAGGGGGGAGTTTTCCTCGGGTTGCTGCCGAGGAAGAGCTGCAGTAGTTTGCAGCCGGAATACTCATGAGTGGCTGAGGCTGCAACATGCTGCCCCCCCCTCTCCAGATCTCCTCATCTCCTCCTGTCTACAGTATCACACACACACACACTCTCTAGATCCCTGCACTGTGTGTGTGTGTGTGTGTGTGTGTGTGTGTGTGTGTGTGTGTGTGTGTGTGTGTGTGTGTGTGCGCTCTCAGGTTTTCCTGCTTGTGTGTAAAACTCTCTCTCTCTCTCTCTCTCTCTCTCTCTGGTGTAATTTATAGCCCTCAATCGGAGGCCTTATCAGGTGCAGGACACATGGACACCTCCTTCTGTCCTCCTTC